CTGCTTGCTATTACCCTGTCTCAGTGTTGCACAGCCTTTTGAGGAGAAGGGGATCTAGGGATCTGTACTAGTAAAGAGAGGAGTTACTACCCAGAATCATTAGTCTGTGCTGTCAACATGTCCTTAATCCATGTCTTCACTCAAAAAGCACAAAAACATCCATGCTGAAGAAATGAAACAGTCAGCCTGTCCTGGTTGTTACCTCTTTCATTGTTTCTGCCTGGAAATAGTTTCCTGTGACTCAGTATGTCAGCTTATAGCATCCAAACTGACTCAGCTTGTGCAGTTCCAGAGGTGGCTCCATGCCTCTGCTGCTCTCCGGAGCCTTCCCTGCTCCTGCTGTGGCTTAACAAACCCAGTTTCACTTCTGCTCCTGTGCCACCTCCTGCAAGTCAGCCAGCAACTGCTTGCTCCAAGCAGGGCATGGAAACGAGGTGCTGGAGATGGCAGTTGGCAACTCCAAGAGGTGCTGGGAAAATGGGTACCAGTGGCCAAATGGTGCTACTTAGTTTTCAAAAAAACAGAAAAGAAAGATCAAAACACGGGAGAGCAAATGGAAAGAGACAAAGTTTAGCTCAGTGTTTACTTGCTGATGATGTTTGGAGTTAGACTGGAGATTATCGTTTCCAGAGGCAGCAACAGCCCATCTCTCAAGGTTAAGCAGTCTCAGGCCTGCCTCCTGCGCAGGTGCAAGCAGAGTGTGACCATGTGGCAAACCAGGATGGCAAACTGATCTGACTGAAAACCACCCATGTTCGCTGGCTCAGCTTTCAGCTGGTCCAAGTGCCTGACCTGGTTCCCCAGTCGTTCATGGCAGCCCAGGGCAGAAGAAGGAGGAACAGAAATAAGCCGCCACAGAAATACACATGGAAGGTGATGAGTGTCTTAAGCAGCTCTGCCAACTACAAAACCATGGCAAGCAGAGGCAGCTGTGCGCTACAGAGTGGTTCTGACTCACTCTTTCTTAGCTGGGGATAGCCCAGCTCTGGGGGAAGTCTGAGAAGGAACTTAAATGCTAAAAACCAAACTGCTGCAAAAAGCTGCAGTCTGGTGTAAGAGGACTGTGTGCAAAGCATGAGCTATCCTTCAAAAGGAAAATGCTCTCCTGTTTCTCCAAGCATGTCAGTCACACCAGATTTTTGTCTTCATTATATTTGTCCTGTGGACAGGACCCTTCTCTTTGCTTAGACATCTTAGCTGCTGACATGGCTACAGTTATCTCCTGTGAGGCAAATGGTGAGGAAAACCTGACTGGACCCATGAGGCTGAGGCCTCAGAATGCAACAGCAGTCTGAACGATGAACTTTCAAAAGTCAATTCTCTGACCATGTAATTCAAAACAACAGACACTTCAGCAGGGATACTCATGATGCTATCCAGCCTATGTCCTAGTCCATGCCAATTCACCTGAAATGCTGGGAGGCACTAAGAACCTTTATATCCTTCCTTACAGGACTGTTCCTTGCTCTGGTGACTTTGAGGAAACCCTCTGGTTTTGCCTCTTTCCTTATTTTTGTTTTGTGCCTTTCAGTTTTCATAATCAAATGAGGCCAAGCTCCTTAGGTGATAGCTTTCCTGTCTCACATCTTGCCTTGTCAGTTAATTTTATCTAATTCTACGACTGTAGCAGCTTAAGTGCAGGACCCTTTCACACAGTTTCTCTTGCAGCTCTGTGATGGTGCTTCATTCTGAATCCCTTCCCAGTTATCAGTGTGGGAACAGAGGAATATTCCTGGTGTGGTCACTTGGGCAGCAAAGGGGCTGGTTTGAGAGGAGTGTGCTCCCTGTAGCTATGTGTCACTTGAGTTCAGCAAGAAGCTGGAGAGGTTTGGAAGCAATGATTTACACTCTGCTCCCCATTTCAGATTCCCATACCAAGTGTGCCTGTGTTCCAGCCGTCCACCCCCATCCCTGAGCGCCTGGAAGCTGTGCAGCGCTACATCAGGGAGCTTCAGTATCCTTTACTGTTACCTCAGTCACTGGTGCGATGACCCAGGAAGAGGGAGCAAGGGGACTTTCTTTCCTTGTTAAGAACAGAAAATCTCATTCTGTTGTAGCTGGAGGGGAACTGAAACTTGTTCCCTGAAAACAGGAAGCTGGACTTGGGATGATAGTTTCTTTTGCTGCTCTGTTTCTTTTCTGCCCAAGTTACCTTCTGATCCTGTTTGCTCCATGTAATAAATGGGCATGTTGTCAAGGGGCTTTTCCCATGATCCACCCTTCTAGGTCAGTGGCTTTACAGTCCCATTTCATTAAAAACACATATTTGAGACCCTGACAGCTAGTTCTCAGATGTACTACAAACAGTGTCACCTCACTGTTAAGGCATGGGTCAACTGTGGAGATGAGAAAACTGCCGCTCAGTTCATCCTAGTTAAACACTCCTCTCTGTAGCTCTCTAAAGGACAGTCAGCCACCCTGCTTCTGTAAGGTGGCAGACCTTTTGGAACCTCTCATACATCTGAGGTGGTTGTGCTCTGAACTGGGTCCCAGTCAGGCTTGGAATCAGGCATTATGAATTTGACAATGTTCTGTGCATTCTGTGCAGACCAGAGCAGGCAGATAATTATCAAACTTTGTTGTGCCCTGGTAACTGGAAAGCTGAGCAGAGCATGTGCTGTCAGCATGAACCTTTCGAGAAATGGAGTGGAAACCTGTGTGGGTGGAGGAGGAGGAGAAGAATTGACAAGAGGGAAATACAGTGGACGTAAGAAGAGAGGACAATTTCTTGCATTGCTGTTATATTTGTGGGATCATGACTTTGCTATGAGAATAGTAAGTAACATGAAAGTTCTTCAGACAGGTTTTCTTCTAATTCTGCTTTCTAAGATGCCAAGCCCTTAACTTCTTGCCTCCAGGTACAATCACACTGGGACACAATTTTTTGAGATTAAGAAGAGCAGACCTCTGACTGGGTAAGTGTTGACAGCCCTTACAGCATTTAAGTCTTGCTTTAAGATGTTTGGGCCATACTGTACTGACTGCTTCATCCTCCATCCCCTGGCCAAGGTCTAGGTGACACTCAGGGATTTCAGTACTGCAGCTCCATCCTACTTTAGGTGAATGTACTGTCTGTTGCCTGGGGCATGGCTGGGCAGAGCTGTGTCTGACCTTTCTCAAGGACAAGAGCAGGTTTCATTGTCATGAATCAGTAAATCCAGTAAAATAACATAAATGTATTTCAAAGATGTGCAGCTTCTGCCTGCTTCTAATTGGAATAATAATATGAACTTTGTAACAAGCTTTGCAAAAGCCAAGTATCTTTACAGGTTTAACTTCATAGCTTCTCTAAGTGCCTTTGCAGAATCTAGGCTCACAAAGCTTTTGGTGTCTGATACTTTGAAGGAGAAGGGGGATTCTGTGTGTAGATTTTGGGAAGAGCTGTGCCCTGCAAGTTCCTGGAGATAAGCACCTGATGTTAGTTGACTCTCTTGGAGTGCATACTGAGAGTCTCCCAAGACTAGTGCCTTACTGTTGGTCTAGTCCATAGACTCATGTGACCACAAATATCTTGTGTTGTGATCAGTGCAATGTCTCCTCCACAGTATGAGTTGAACAGAGAGTAGGGTTAGTGCCAGAGAAGGCGGCTTCACTGTCCTTGAGCCTTGTGAGGCAAACATTGCTGGCTATTTGTCTTCTGATGCTTCTGCTTGTGTTCGCATTGGTGTCCATCCACTCACTGAGCCAAGTGCTGTGCTCTCCCTGGAAACAGATGTTGGCCTAGTAAGCAGCTTTGCTGTAACTCACTGAAAGGAGTTCCTTGTAAGCAGCGAGAGCGCATCGTAGAGACCTGGTTTGGATTTAATATCTTCCTAAAGAAGATACTTTATTCTGTTCCCTGTCCTAAGTGGGCCACCTTCTCTCCTGGAAACTTACCTTACATATATAGTGCAAAAGGGCTCAATCGGCTGTACGTGCATAGCTCAAGCCCTCTAACTGTCCTCGTCTTTCCGTTGCCCCATTCTGCAGGTTGATGGACCTGGCCAAAGAAATGACCAAAGAGGCCCTGCCAATAAAATGCCTGGAAGCTGTGATCCTGGGAATGTATCCTTTCCTCTTGGAATTGTGCATGCCTGCCCATCCTTGTGTTTTCTCCTCTACACTCTATGATGCTTTGAGGCTGCTGATAATATTGTCACCAAGCCCCACAACCCTCTGTTTTCCCTCTCCAGTTCTCCCAAAAAAAACCCAGCAATAAAATCCAAATCCAAACAATTATCTGAAATATAAGTAGTTCTTTGGAGCTACTCCTTCCCTAAGAAGGGTGGTGGTACTCTGGACAACTCTACAACTGAGGAATATCAAACGGGGGGCAAAAATATTAGGTAGAGTTGGGTCAGAAAGACCTTGGTGGATAACATTGTTCTCTTACTGCAATGTTGCCTGTGTGTGCTCTACATTAAAATAAGTCAGGGATTTTCCCCAACTTCTGATTATGGTATATGTCACTTTACTAGTATGTCTAACACTGCCTGCCAGCTTAGGCAATACCTTTATTAGTTCTAGACATGTGTCATCTTTAATTACACGTCTTTCCTAGCTATCTTCAAGGCTTACCTTATGTCACTCAGGCTACAGATTCTTGATGCACATGGGCAAAGCCACCTGGAGGGGCAGAGATGGCAAGTGAAGGTTCAGAAGTGTAGTCTGATAAGTATTGTGTCCTGAACGTTCCTCAGCTTCTGTATGAAATAGTAGCTAGTACAACAGATTAAAACAAACTAACAAATACAGCATTTAACAGTCTGGAAGCTATGGCATCCAGTACACCTGAGGTGTTAGCATTGCAGCTTCTGCCTCAGAACTCCCTCAAAATTAACTTCCCTTTGTTGATTGTCTTGTTGAAGAGGCCAAGTTTGGTTTCCCCATTATCCATCTTGCAGTGAGCTGCACTTTTTGATCTGGAGAAAAAATTCTGCCTGTGTGATGCCTTAATGAGTGGCGAGTCTGCTGAGCAGGCTGGTGGGAGGGTGTGGAGTAGAGAGGAAGAATCTTGTCAAGCAAATGGTATCACTGGTTGTTTCCTGAATAGTGGCTGCTGTCAGTTACCTCACCAACAACATGACCACGCTGGACCGTTTCCCCATCAGCTTCAAAACCCACTTCTCAGGGAACTACTTCCGACACATTGTGCTGGGGGTGAACTTTGGAGGCCGCTATGGGGCACTGGGCATCAGCCGACGTGAGGAGCTCATGTACAAAGCACCCGTCTTCCGCACACTGAGTGAACTCATCTTTGACTTTGAGGAGGCCTATCGCCGCTGCTGGCACACGCTCAAAAAGGTGAAGCTGGGCCACTGTGTGTCCCACGACCCACACAGCGTGGAGCAGATTGAGTGGAAGCACTCCATCCTGGATCTAGACAAGCTAACCCGGGAAGACTTTCGCAAAGAGCTTGAGAGACACGCCCGTGATATGAGGCTGAAGGTAAGCAGCAAGGTTGGAGAAGTAGACTGCTGCTGCAGCTGCTGTCTTGGCTGGTTGATGGTGTGCTGGGGTAATGAAGGGGCAGGAGGTTCTCCTAGATGGTGGTGGAGCAGAGGGCGAACTGAAGGCTGGGGGCTCTTTTGCTTTGTATATAGACTGACCCCTAATGGATGCTTGCGCAGTACTGCAGTTGCAATTAGCTTGGGCTTAATACAATCCTTGACGCCATAGCTGTCACTGTACTTGTTCTTTCTGGCTTTGGCAGTTTTGATGCACTGGCCTTGCTTTTGTGTCTTCTATTGCCATATAATTAATCATGGTTGGGCTTTGTTTCCTGGTTACTATTTGTATTGGTTTTCTGTACATGTTGCTCTTACTTTAATTTTTCCGGCAGATTGGCAAAGGAACTGGGCCACCATCTCCCACCAAGGACAGAAAGAAAGATGTCTCCTCCCCACAAAGAGGTCAGGCCAGCCCCCATCGGCGCAACAGCCGTGGGGACCGACGGTGAGTGGGGCTGCTGGGCTGGAGACCTATCTAGACCATCACTCTTTTACTTGTAGACTCCACTTTGCTGTCAGGTTTTGGATCCTTCTGGTGTCTTACTGGGGTTCTTTATAACAGGGAATACTTCTCTGACCTGCTGTAGCATTCTTCCATAGTCTGTGCTTTTTTATAATTGCTTAGGGAGTAGAAGGACAGATGGGTTGTTTGTTTTTTTTGTTTTGGCAGGGAGAAGGAAGGCAGCTCAAATACACAGGGATCTTGGTTGCTGATATTTAACCTTACACAAGGGTCTGAGCTCTGGTGTCTCACAGACCTGTGCCCCAAAGAGGTTTCAAAAATTACACTGCTGTCAGTGAGACTGTTTTCCTGAAACTGAGTTGGGGTACCAGACTGGAATTCCTGCTCTTCCTAACCTGCATTCTTTTCTGTGGAGATCACTGGGAGATTTACTGGAGGTTGCAGAATAATCCTTCCCTCAGTAGTGTAGGAGAAGTCTTTTCCTGTGCTGCCATCTCTACTTGCAGCACCTCCTGACTGAAAAAAAAGCAGTTTCTGAATAGTTCCTACTATCTTCGTTCACAGGCCATCTGGTGAAAAGAAGCCTGCTGATTCCAAAGCCATGCCAGACCTCAATGGGTACCAGATCCGGGTGTGAAGAGAGCTGTGCCTTGTGTGACTGGCTTCACAGACTTTTGGGGCCACAACTGGGAGCTGGATCCACCTGCAGTGATTCTGGCAAAGGGGACAGGGGAGTGGGAGCAGAAAAGAGTGCTGATCTTGCCAAGTACTTCCTAGTGGGCTAGTCCCAGACCTGGATCTCATGGGTCCCAGAGGATTCACTTGCCTGTTTCTGGGAGAGGTGTCCATCTTAATTCACTGAAACAAGTATTTTAAAAAAAAAAATAATCTGTATGTTGGTGGGAGTTTGCTGCAGGAAGAATATGAAGTCAGTGGAGTCAGCAGACTTGCTATCAATTTTTTTGTGTTGACAGCAAGTAGATGAAGCATCTTGTCAACAGTACTTCTTCCCTGTCTGTACAAGTCTTAACTCATGCAAGGCCTGAAAGTCTGAGGGAGAAGTGATGCCGAAATGAGATGGCCCCCACATCTTGTGCAAAAACTCCTGGTTTTGTCATTATGAACACTTTGTTTAACATTGCCCTTGTAAGAGACAGGGCTGAATTGTCTTTCATTGTCTCTGAGGGGTAGACAGTGGGATAATGATCCTCTTTACCCACTGCAAAGACGGGGAGCTGTTGCTGTAAGTCATTTTGTGGTTGAGTGGGTCCAGATGTACCTGTGCCATGTCCACATGAAAACAGGCACAGAGACCTCAGTTCTCCCAGTAGTGGAGGTAGGGGTAGGCAGGGGCTGGCGGGAAGCCTGAACTTGAGTCATCTCTTCATCAGCCTTCTATCCATTAACATCTAGTGACTGCTACTGTGAAAGCTTGCAGAAGGCACTTCAGTCACTTAGGTATGAGTTTTAAGAGTAAATTGTTAAAGAAGGATTTAATTATGTGAACAGGTTTTTCAAGCGTTTTTACTTTCCACAAGGGTTTTGTTCCCTCCTTACTGTAGTTTAGTGCTAGAGTTACAGACACCTGTTGGTGGGAAGCCCTGCACGAGTAGAGTGCAGCTGCTTTCCTGACGGCTCAGCGTGAAGCCTCTTGAAAGTAGTTCTCCAGCCTTGTGCCAGAGCTGTGCTTGTGTCTGGCCCTTCAGATAGCTGCCAGATTTCACAGCACCTCTCACGCTAGGCTTCCCCAAAGGGCCAGGCTGGCCTTAAAGCCTTCGCTGTTCCTGCACCTCTCTCAGAGGAGAGTTGTACTAGTGGTTAAGCAGTGTGACGCTTGTCAGAAACCTGGAATGTGAGGTTGCCAGAAGTCAGAACAGTATGGCCTTGAAGTGATCTGGATGCATGTATCTAGGGGATGCAAAAATTGTGGAGTGGGAATATCCTTGAGAGAAACTGAGACTTGTTTTATCACAGCACGGACAAGGAGCTAAACCTTCTAAAATACCGCATCCTTAATTTTGTTAGAATTTGGTTTATTCTTTCCTGTGAGCTTGTTAGAAACATGATGGAGCTTATCTCTACCAGGTTTTTTTGTTGCAGTATTGCTGTGCCATACCCTCATATAAGCAGTGCTATTTTGGTGGCAGAGAATAGGTTCTTATCCCCAAACAAATCAGCTCATCTGTAGTGTTACAGCACTGTTAATCCTTGAGGCACCACCCACAAGTGATTTAACTCGGGCCTTATAGGTTCCTAATTGTACATCCTTAACTGTGATGTAGCTTACAAGGCACTATATCCATACCAGAGCAGTCTCTCCTTCCAAGCTCTTTGTAGTCTGTACTTTTCTGCTATGCTGTACAACCAGGAGGACAATCTGTAGGGGGTGGCAGAAGTTGCTGCTGATCCAAGATAAGGTGGATCCAGAAGAGGATGCCAGTTTCCACAGTGCAGTGCAACACCTGTCCCTTCCCTTGCTCTCCAGCCACATGCAACCATTTGAAATTAGACAGCAGTAGCAAGCCAAGCAGCTCTGCTCAGTTTTGTGGGGCTGTAAATTAACATATTTAGTGTCTGGATGCTAACAATTATGTTAGCTGTAAAGGTACCACAGTTACATATAAATAATATGGGTCACCTGGAAGCCACAAACTGCCTTTGCATAATGTTTGCTATGCAAACATTATGATTAGTTTGTTAGTTAATTCAGAGTAACTGGAAAGCTCTTAAGAATAATTGTTAGTAGTTTCATACAGAGCACATTCAATACCTGGACAGACTTGAGGATTTTTAGGTGGAAAGAAGTGGAAATGTGTTGTGGGGAGGAAGACTTCAAACAGATGGGGCAAGTGAGGGATCAGTTGCAAGCTGCTTTCTTTAGAGCAGGGTAAAAGGGATGCTCAGCAGTGCTGGATCACCGGGGTAGAATGACTTAAAATGCTTTGTTTGACATGGTAATTAAGTGCTTTCCTGCAGGATGTAACAAGAGGCCAATAGCTTAGAAAACCAAAGGAAGTGGATATTTAAGGAATGAATGGCAGGTATCATTCAAGATCTCAGCTGTAGCCAGACAAGAATATCCTTTTTCAAGATACAGTTGCACAATTATCTACATTAGGAGGCATTTAATTCTTACATGTCTCGTGTTGATGACTTCTCAAGATGGACACAGGAGCAGACACGAACCCTCTACTTGAGTTCCTATCACAGAATCACTATTTCAAGCCTTCTACTATTTTTTTCTGTGTGCTAGATTTCCTGCCTGCTACTCTTTCTGTATTTCCAGTTTAGCAGATGGTGCAAGAAACTGGAAAATGACCAAACAATTATCCCATTCTTGCTCTTTCTCCCTTCAACCATCAAGATGAATCACTTCAATACAAAGCTTAGCTTCCTTGCTAACAAACAAGACAGCATCCCCCTGTGACAAAGAGGATTAGTACAATCCAGTTGTATGCCATAAAAAACCTGAGGGCACAATGAAAGATGAACTTTTGCACTTCCACATCTTTCCTCTCTCATCCATATGCTCTGGCTTCTGGCCTGCCTGCCTTTAACCAAAAGGGAAAAAAAGCTAGGAAGTAGTCTTTTTCACGTTTGCAGTCTCTAGAACTACAGAGAAGGAATTAAAATAAGGAACTAGACTGTAACTTACACTCTTCAGTGCCTGCAGAACGAAAAAGATGCATCTTGAGGAGTCGTGTTAATTATTTAATGTTAAATATTAGTATGATTGCTCTTGCAGCTCTGCAGTGTAAATTTCACTGCCCAGTCGGTCTCATGTCTGTTCTGCAGTACAAGTCCTTCTGAATTCTGTGGAAAGGAACTGCATCCATAAACTAAAAATGGATAGACACTGCCTATGTGTTATGTGAAGTATAGGTGAGCTTTGAAAGACCTGAACAAATGCTTACTTACTACTAGCAGAACTATTTTAAATGAAATGCAAACCTTGAAATAAGATTTCCTCTTCATACTTTTATGTAAAAGTCCCTTGATACCTGGTCAACTGCAATTTTTTTAATGGATTAGCTTCAAAACTTTCTGCTACAGTGTCACTCTGATACAAACAATATCCTAAAGAGCAGGGTTGGGTGTCCATCACCCTGTGACACACTAGCCTTTCTTTTAAACTCTGATATGATAAACTAAATGAGTATTTAGGAACTCAAGGTATGTTAGCAAGTGTTTTAGCTGGGAGTGGAGTGCTTTTTTTCAGCTGATTATTTTAGCCTTGTGTGGGTCAGTACAGGATATGATCTTCTAGATCTACTAGAATACATGATTTCAGAACCGTGATAGAAACATAGTTTCTGTTGATGCAGTAGCTGTATTGCTGTTATCAGAGCTGTTTAACGTGAACTTTTTTTTTTTTTTTAAAGTATTTCAGGTGAAAGCCTTAATCAGGTGCCTGCCCCTTAAGGCAGGCTCACATGTGGTGTTGTGGAGATTGAAACATGACTGTCCTTAAAACTGCAGAGTTTAAGAAACCATAATGAATAGAAGAATGTTCCTGTTGAATAGAAGAATATTCCTGTTGCCAAAGGGCAAGAGTCTGGATTAGATGGCCTTGACCTTGCTCCAGTGGCTCTCACTAATCACTTCAGGTGGTTGCTTTTGCCACTTGCTCCTTTTAAGTGAAGTATTTCAAGTGGCCCAAATCATGATCAGACACTAGATCTAAGCAGGACATGCCCCATGTCGCACACATACTACGTGTGCAAGTCTGGCTAAAATAACACCACATATTCCAGTGGTCTTGCACTGTTGTCCTGTGACCATTTAGACCTGCATTAAGGATTTGCAGCTTAAGCTAATAAAGCAAGTGCTATTCTGGCTTGGTGTTTGCTCTGTCAGAGCAAGGTGGAGATGGTCCCTCTACAGCCAAGCTGAACTCCTTAGGGAATTTAGTATTTTTGTCCGTTTTCTGAGCAGGTGTTTACTTGTGTCACAACCACTCTCCTTCAGTGGTGCCCCGGCCCTCTGCTCAAGAGCAACTCAACTTATGCCCAGAAGGCTACTGAATCCCCTCTAATCTCTGCAGAGCAGAGTTTCCTTCCAGGTCAGGGCTGAGATGGTGCTAGTGGGACCAGAGTGGTCCCCCTCCATGCACATCAGTATTCTACTCTAGCACTGAAAGGGTGCTCCACAACCATTTACATCTTTATCACTGGTACAGCTCAGAACTAAGAAATTGAAGGTTTCTTTCTTTAAGAACAATATCATGTGTGTCTTTTTGTAATTATCAGTGTGGTTCTGTGTTCTTATGTAGCCAATGCAGAACCTGTATTTAGATTTAGTTCTTACTACATTTCCCATAGCCCTCATGTTGATACTTCTTCCTGCTTCCTTTGACACTCAGAGAATAAAATTCCCTCTGTACTGGTCTCAACTTGTGCAGAGAAAACAAGATGTCTGTACTGTCTTTCTTTCCAATTTAAACCTTCCCATTGTAAGTCAGCTGAGAAGCCAAAGGCACAATCCTGAGTGATGGTATCAGACAGATGATGTATAAGCACCCTGTATTTGCAACACTATGGACATGGAAGAACCCTTATTCCCCTTCAATCATCTGAACAAGTGAGTACACACATGAGTACACACATAGGCAGCTGCCAGAGAGTAAGAAGTATGTAT